GTCGCCACTCATACCCTGGAGGAAGGCCACGAATTCAACTTCGCGAGCACGCGAATAGTAGCGTCGGCCAGCAATAGGACAGTGCGAGAACTGTTGGAGGCCTCGGTGTCTGACACCAACTCTATCAACAAACACGTTGCTATCACGCGCTCCGGTCCCGCGGCCAAGAGGCGAGACCCAATTTCCAGCCAAGGGTGCACGCAGTCACTCCGCCATGATACGGCGTGGGGCTCAGCTTATCGCGAATACCACCCTCTGCACCTACACCCCCCCCCTTCATGGCTTGACTAAAAAACCTGCTCATTTGATGCAGCATTCTCAGCCTCTGACGCTGGCCTCCTGTACGAGACCGAAAGCTCAGACTAATACACCGACTGTCCCAGAGATCGTGTGTTCATCCCCTTTACATCACGTTGGTGGTTCTACGGTTCCCTTCGGAATTCACATCGACTTTCGGGGAGAAATCCTTGCGCTAGGCGTGGATGCAGGCAGTTGAGTGCGAGAATAGCAAAGCTATTGCCCGAAACGTTGAAGAGGTATATGCTTCTGGGATTATCGTTAATTTGCCGGTCCTCCTAGCGTTCGCATAAATGGATAATGCTAGAATTTTCGATGTCCTGGGAGACTTAATCATATTTCCACATCTCCTGAAATAGTATGTCAGACTTTTCCAAAAGTTGAGGGTGGCCATGTCTGTAGATTTTGGTTGGGATTGCACGTCATGCTAGTCACGGTCCTGAACGAGGGCGTACCTCAGCAGTTGCAGGGCGGATCCACATTTTCTTCTGCTGATCTAGAAGGGGGACGGAGAGCGCTGCGTTCTCCATTGATTTGCAGCAGGTGGGCAGAGCATAGGTGTACGCGCCGGAGCCCAACAGCCTCAACACCAAATACATTTGTCGAGCGAGCTCTAACTGTAACGGCTTGAAAGGCCGCCTGTAGACTTCCTAGCGTCGGTTAGGCTTGCTCGACCTAATCTGGCTTCTACGACATGCAATGTCGGTACCTTTGAGTTCCTGACACATGGTCACACTTCGATATTGATGAACCAGATGCGATTGAAATATAACTGTCGAGAGTGTTATAGAAAGTCCGCAATAAAAGGTGTATCCGGTGCGCACTTCCTCATATTGTCGATGACACAGATTGCTTACTTACAGCTGGTTACTCCGTGCGACCTGCAGCTGGAGGACTGAGAAAAAAATGCCCAATTGCAGTGCTGCAAACGGAGCAGGCCAGTCAGCTCCACGCCCGCGTGACTTTGGCCCCATCGCGGACGTGGGGCCGCAGGACGTCTGACCCGAAAATGCTCCGGTAGACAATTGACTCGGGGTAGTCCGAGGCCCTTCCCTCTGTGGTTGGGGGTATGGTTGATCGATAATGACGAGTACGCCCCCTAGCGATGAATACGGATGGCATTTGGTGGCATGGTAGCTGCGCCCTGCAAATGCTGCACTCCTTGTGTCCCTACCAGCCCTTATCTTCTACTGTCCCTGATGATGAGTCCGAGTGAGAACTCGAAACGTCAGGCCAGCGATCGCATCTCCTCCTGAAGTCATATCCTGTCGATCGCATCTTTGAAAAGCAAGCATAGGTAATAATGAAAGCCACTTCAAATGGTGCAGGATTTTTCCCGCTTCATAGACAAGTGGATCGTTAGAGCTTTATTACCATGTTCGCGTGACATGACCCCAGTGGGTGTTAAAATCGTTGTTCTGTCGAAAACCATGTTTTTGTTTAGATGAACTTAAGGCCTGTAAGAGACAAACCCACTAGTTGGGCACAGCGAGTAGGCTATCCAGGAAACGAAAATAGCAGTATCCCAACAGTTACAAACTAGTAAATAAGAACGAATTCGTCAGCAGGTAAAAGTGCACGTGCGTGTTCTTTGTCTTATTCAAAGTTGTGTCAAAGCGTATTGTAACTGATTAAAACAAGACAGACTTAAATGTCACTACAGGCCTAAGCTGTCTTCTACGACATGTAATGTCGGTACCTTTGAGTTCCTGACACATGGTCACACTTCGATATTGATGAACCCGATGCGATTGAAATGTAACTGTCGAGAGGGTTATCGAAAGTCCGCAATAAAAGGTGTATCCGGTACGCACTTCCTCATATTGTCCTTGTTCGGAGACTGGGGCCTCACTGAGAGCCGCAATGTGCACCTTGAAGCAAGCCGGTTCACGGATCATCACAGCTGCCCTCGTTTCCGGACGGCTTTCCATCAGCGTCGCAGGCTGCGAGAATGAGCAAAGGTCACTTTGACAGACTGTGGGCAGAAAAGGGCTTGTTGTTTCCTAATGTGTTTCGACCAGGTATTTTGTATCCACGATAGCGACCAGACCGCAGACGCCGTGATCGTCCAGTATTTGTTTAGGACACCGCTTCTAGACGCCTTAACGATTAGGGGGGGGGGAGGGGGGCAAGTAGTACTGCTTCCAAATACGGCTACTCAATCGTTTCAGACGGCTGCCGAATTCTGATTTGGGTCACGACTTAGTGGAAAAACGGTATGAGTTAGCCTGGACCGCGTACGAGATTAAAGACGGCCAAGGGAGCCGGTGTCGAAAATTTGTTGTTTGTTACATTTCCCAAAGGACTTATTTCTTTCAAACTAAACAGATTCAACACACAAACATTTATATACAAGCATCACGGTGGTTCTTTGTTTGAATGTAGGAAGGGCAGGAATTAGTTCAGGTACTACCGGCGTAAATACGCATGGTCGCCGGCCAAGTGCCGCTACCGGGACATGGTCGTTGTGCTTAACAAGGCTAACTGGAACCGGGGATGAGTGTAAGTTAAGGGCGCGCGTTAGCAGATAACAAACTCGTACGCGGACGCATCAGTCAATCCCGAGGTCATGTCCCTCGTACTCAGTAAGGACTTGGCAGTTGCTGACGGAATCCGTGGGGAAAACCTCTGCGGCGCCCACGGTAACAATGCCCTCATAGACCCTAGTATGGTGAAAATAGGGTGCAGGACCCACAAGTAGAGGGCCACTACAAACATATATCTTAAAACTCAGTGTGACTGTAAACACCGCTTACTATCCGCCATTTCCATTGTTTGAAATTTCCTCCTCTTCCTGACTAAATGCAAAATGACCAACGGCACTTTCTTCAGAGTCCGTTATTTTTCGAAAGTTGCTTTTTGCTTTTCAATTATCGCGTTCATTTTCTTTGCCAAATGACAACGTACGGCGAGACTTTATGCAGACATCTATATATTTTCTGTCTTCTGGCTCTCCTTCCTGTGTTGCCACACCCTGTAAAATCCCTCAAACACCATTGAAAGTGTGACACGGTCCACAGGCTAGCTCAAGTTAGTTGTGGGTCCTACACCCTATCACTGTCCCCCAGTCTTCCTTTGCGGACTTCTGAGAAGTGATGATGTCCTACCATGCTGCATGCGCCTACAACGTCGAAGGTACTGCATCAACTCGTGTTTGGGGTTTATAGCTTTATTTGTTTAAGTATAGCAAATGATTACACTTCTCGACTGAGCATCGGAACAAACTGGGACCGACATGAAGAGGTAAATGCACCCGGCTGGGACGCCAGAGACCCAGAGGATTGCTCCTAATGCGACGCATATTGGCTTGCTTTGCATAATTGCGCTGCTATGTCTGTGGTCTCAAAGTACTTGACATGAGCACCCGGCGTATCTATTTGGAGACTCCTAGTTCTTTGGAATCATGAATTGTAAGGAGCTATTTCGTTTTCTTGAAAGCAAAATGGAGACACTGTGTGGTATGGCATGTTTAGCACTCAGAAGACATAGAGACTGTGCGTGCAGACACTTGCCCATCACCGCGGACAACTGGTTCAGTCTGCTGAGCGGACTGTGTTATCCCAGTCACACATTATATGCAAATCCTCTCAAATGAAAAATTAGCGCCACTCCGACTATGTCCAGAAGGACACTAACCATTTCGGTGGAGGCAATCGCTGCGGATGAACGTACTGCATCTGTCGCCTTGAATTTGCCCAGACCTACGTAGCCATACCTCTAGAAAGTTCCAACTTTTGGCGTGACACTGGGACAAGAACGAATCAGCGCGAACATGCAGACAAACCTAGCAGTTCCCGAGGCTACATGCAGACCGTGTTCATCGAAGAACCTGGTTGTAGGACGGAACATGCTAGCTGGGGGGGTTGGCAGTACGTTGAGTACTGATGAGTGTTAGATTGTTCAAGCTCAGCACAGGAGGTAAAGAACACAAGAAAACCCCAGCCAACCTGCGGATAATCGCAGACGACACGAGACAAGGAGGACATTGAAATCAAAAAAAACAGACACAAGGGCAATTGAAGGGTAGGCTTTAATTGTGGTGCAAAATCATGTGTTTGCAAAAATGGAACAAACCGCATCTCGGGGTAAAATAGTAACAAATCAAAATCTGCATATTAAATAATAGTAAGTGGACAGCTGGAAAACGGTGCGGGTCAGGCTCAAAGTAAGTCAGGTGTAAGGAACGCAGATGGATGAGGGCAAGTAAGCCAAGATTGTGATGAAAAGAGACGGTAAAAATCTGTACCGGTATTAGCAGAAAAGCAGACCAGTGCGGTGAGGACGAGAGTTTATAATGCTTTTGCCGGGGAGAAATCGAGGTTTAGCGGAAGTTACGCCGTCATGAGCAAGAAATCAAAGTCGGGAGAATGCCAGGTAGGTTATTAACAAGTTGAAACAACAGCAAGAAAAAACAGCCCCTCTTCGCAGAAGATATCGGCGCCACATGAAACAGGCGAAGCTACCAGCGCTTTTGGCTCTGCAAATGACGGAGCACGTCCTTTTTAGTTATTATTCCCAAAAGACGCCTACAATTCAAGACGGAGAGGAATGCACAGAAAATTCAGATAGTGCGATCACATTCTAAAGCATTTACGCAGGAATGGCTGCAGTCTATTGATATAAAAGAAAATCGAGAAGACTGAGATATGTACAGCATTATCGGTATGATGACGTACCACTAAGACATGAATAAGGACAGGTGCAAACACACACACAACACGCGCATACATTTATGAAATGAGGCACGTTTGTTTGACTTCTCCCTTTACTGTATGTTTCCTGCTCCTTCAGAAGAGGACTTAGAATTTTAATGAAAAGTCAAGAAAAGCGCCTTTCTACACAAAACAAGCACGAAGAGTTAACGAAATAGGTGACTAGAGCGCTGGACTCAAACGCTCAATGACCCACTGGCCCCGGCTTAAAACCTAGGCCGAGACAGCACCATGTGGTCGGGACATCAATGGTCTCCGTTTGTAACATTTACCAGGGTAAGAAGCGATGGAAGGTCTGCTTCTCTTAATAAGGACAGAAGTTTCTCAGAATCAACTTTTAAGCCTTTGACGAAAAAGAACTAGCGATTCAAAGCTCACGAAACTATATATACCAACATAGGTTCACCGAAAGCGAACATCTAATTAAGGAAAGACATGCACAATTTACTCGAGTATTGAAGAAACTCCAATGAGGTATCGGTTGCCATTACTCAATTATACTTTAGGAGACAAGAGGCGCCTAATGGGGATAAAGGGGAATTGGTTCGTGTCAGAGAAGATTGTACAACCTCTTAGAAACCGCAAGCAGCAAATTGTTCCTTATTTTAATGCGTACGAAAAACGGTGACTCACCCATTCTTCGTAACTAGGACTTGACGTAGTCCCAACTTTCTGAAGAAATCAAGTACGGTCTCCATTGGTGTCTGATCCGTTACTGTGATTGGAGACTGTGGCAGAAAACATGCAATTAAAAAAAGACGAGGGATGCAAAGGTAAGAAAAATATGCGCGATACGAGTAAAATTCGGAGTATGCACAAACAGGAAAGAAACCAAACCATGAATGAAGGACGTACTAGAATAAAAATAGACTCACCGCAACACAGAAAGTATATTTGTGAAATTAAAAAGGATAAACAAAGGCATTGTACAAAGGGTTCGGATTTTAAGACTACATTGTATCTAGAGGGATAGAGAACTTTCTTTGAAAGGCTAAGGTAGGCGGCCTCGACAAGTAGAAGAAAGGTTAGCATACAATCGCCAGATTGAACCTCGCGGACGACGTCCGCCGCATGCTCCACGGCGTGGTGGAAGCAGAGACGGCGGCTAGCACACGAAAGCTTACAGTGATGGCAGACTTGTGCAGCCTCTATCACACTCCCTCCTCCTCCTCCTCCTCCCTCACCTTACTGGGTCAGGTAGGAAAGCAGAGTCAAGAAGACCGTAGGTGGGATAGGGCGCAGTGGAGGACAAAGTCGAACAACCCGTCTGCGCGTGCCACACACGCCTGATGCGCGCACGATGGACCAGGATTTCATATTGACCCAACTGTGAAAAATTCGGCGCCTCGGTGGGATTCGAACCCACGCTGTAAGGGGAAGGCTTTAGCGCAGCCAACACTCTAACCACCTGAGCTCCGAGGCCCCACCGGACGACGCGAGTTTAATCACAACTTACTGTATCAGATTTCGTGGATTCCAGACGTTGCAGTAGGTTGGGCGGGTAACTTGACCCAAATGTGATTAAACTCGCGTCGTCCGGCGGGGCCTCGTAGCTCAGGTGGTTAGAGCGTTGGCTGCGCTAAAGCCTTCCCGTTACTGCGTGGGTTCGAATCCCACCGAGGCGCCGAGGTTTTCACAGTTGGGTCAATATGAATTATTCAAAATTTGCCAAAACATCAATGGACCAGGATTTCACAAAAACAAGGAGGGGCGGCTCGGATCCCTTCTGTGTGGGCGTGATATAGACGCCATATTCAGAGACAACCATTGCAGCCAGACTCTCCGTCCCGAGAGGAGGGCCGAAGTGACAGCCTTCCAAGTCCCCACTTTTAGCACTTCGTGATAGTTTGAAAGCACGCCAGACTGTTTGTAGTGATGAATGCGCATTAGTACACTTAGGAAGGAGTCCTCGGAGTCGCCGTCTCTTTCAATCCCCTCTAGCATGCACCAGTCCGCCGTCTGAGTCGATTAGCCATCCGATGCAGGATTGGGTGCAAGTAACTGATGCAGCGTAAAATCTGCGCTTAAGTATGCTACCGCACCGCCTCATGCGCGGCGTTTTTGGTGGGACGCGCGGACCCTGCACACCCGGATTAAAGCGCGCCGTATCCGGAACTAGCCCCCCTTGTCGGTCCAGGGGATCTCCCGCGTGGCTCGCTGTAGGGGGTAAGTTGAAACTCAATAAACATATGAAATCTGAACTAATTCCATCAAGCGTGTCGGAACAACAGACCCACTTCAAGCATCCGCAAATCGACCTCCAGGCCTAGGAGGACATTGTTTAAGATCTTTAGTCCTTCTGCATTGTCGTGAAGACTGTAGCAGCCACCTTCGAAGCCAACAGATTGGCCTCGATGAAAATCTGTGGATAAACAACAATGGTAACGCGAACAATCCGCGTGTCATCCAAAAAACAACACTACCAACATCATCAGTCCTACCAACCTACGGAGCACAACTATTTTAGACATTCCCCCCCAAGCGATGTGGACTCAGTTACAACCCATCCCCAGCGCGATAGCAGTTCCAAATCACGTATCAACCAGGTCCATTACTTGCGAATCAATATTATTGAGACCAGCGAACAAGTGCCAGGAGACCCGGTCTCAACTGCCCACGATGGCCCACGACATTTTGCCACCACAGGGGCATATTCAGTCATATGCATCGCTATCAAAGTCTCCGATGAAGAACTGCAGTCTAAAACCGGTTATTGTACGTCTGTCTGCCCCGCACGCACCTGCACTGACGACATATGGATATAATTCACGAGATACACATAAATGCCACCCAAGCAACACTACGTCCACCCTCAGCAGCACGCATGCAATCCCCTTTGCCATTATCGATACGTAGGGAGACACGTCGCATATCAGAACATTCGCACGTCGCTTAGGTGGAATACATGTCCATTGATGCTGAAGTGAAGCCCAGGTCGCGTGTGGCACGAGCAGACAGGCTGTTCACTGAGGCCATCCTACCCCCAGCCGGTTGGCAGACCAGGATAGTCAGCTGGTGCATGGGAATGGGAAGAGAGAATGTGGAGTCTATTCGCACGATAAATCAGGACTTTTTCTCACTACAGAAGAATTTGACGCACTTGGACGTATCATGATGTGCCAGGAGATGTGGCTTGGAAGGATGCCAACAGACAGGGTAACTCAGTCCCCAGTGAGGGTATTCAGTAACAACTGCAGGCAGTGAGTCAGGTTGCAATCGATCCTTCTAAATGAACCCTATATACCATTCTCTCGCGTATGATTCGGACCGTCATCACGGAAGCCTGGTATAGTTAGTGAGGACCAGATCGCGTGTGGCAGGCGTAGACAGGCCTGTCAGCCATTGTGCCCGCGCCCACCTTCGGTCGTTTTAACGCCACCAGGGCAAGGTAGGTGGGGGAAGAGTGTGTGGCAAATAGTGTACAAAAAACGTCACCTGTGACGTTCGAACAGTCGCGGTGTGTGGGCGTAACCCTAAGGACCGGCCATTTGGCTAGACGCTAGAACAAAACAGAGGACTCCTTCGATTATAATGATACAACGGCGACAGGCTGGCATTAATGCGCCCGCAGGCTCCTCCAAAACGGGTTATTCAATAGCAGGACTATACTAACATGTCCAATGCGGCAACGTACACTTAGAGGACTGTCGACTGGGAGGTCAAGGCCTCCGCAAATATGCAACGGAATATTTCTTGGAGGAAATTAAGTCGTCTTGGAGGGGTTGACTCGGATATCAACGGGCGAGACACAAGCCTGTCGAGAGTTTAGTAACCAAGTGAAAGATGGAAGAGGTTCCAATAATAGCGATTACAACAAATGCCTTAGCGGAGCTCGAGAACCACGTGACATCAGCCAAAGCGGGTACCAACGATTAGTGCATAAGCTAACCCACCAAAGTGGGGGACAACTTTAAAGGTACTGAGTGCCGAGAGGTGTGGAAAAAGCAGGGGGTGAATTTCGCACCGAGTAGATTAGTGACGGGCGCATGCGCAGCACTGACTTTACCTTCTCTTCCCGAGCTTGGCATGATTCGGTGCCAAGATTAGGTCAGGGGTAAAATGCAATGATCAACACGTGCAACCAAACATGCATTGACTAACCTTCTTAGGGGCATCCCACCAGTTAAATAACAGACAAATACCAGCCAGGTTGGGTTAAAAATAAAACAAGCACATCATATGAGAGATCTTACTAAGACCTACCAAGTCCACAATCGAGGAGAGGTTAGCCACGCGTTCAGGAAGACCAAAATCACCGTTCTGAGAACAGTCCGTGAAAAACACTTCTGATTCAGAGGTTACATCAGGGTTGTACAGCTTCTCTTGGTCTGTGAAGAAGAACGAGGAATGTTAGTAACAGTAAACGGCTTACTGAAAGTGAGCGACGAAGGCATGACAAATATCCATGAGGTAAGTTCTCAACACGCGAGTGCAGATAACTCGGCTACGATCGAAACAGTCTGCAGACAATGAGGTAGTCTGCACTTCTAACATATCAGTCAGAAGAGCAAGCTAACGGACCAAGGG